TTTATTTTGTTTTCGTTTTATATATAGATCCTAAAATCTATAAACGAATTAATCGAAATCCGAATGCCAGACTTATTCTAAAATATAAATTGCCGTATCCAAGTTATTTCACTTAAGTAAAAAATTAGTATAAGAAAATGTTAAGCTTCCAAAAGTTTACTTGTGGACTAGACTTATAATCTCCTAACAGTCCTATGAAATCTATAACCTGGCCCGGTTCTTACTGGAGAAAGAAACCAATCATTGTGCTACTGCTTAATCGGAAATACCATCATTGCTCCAACGTTGAAACTTTTTCTCCAAACAAAAGTTACTAAACTAAAAAGCAGACTCACTCACTCTCCATACATTTTATTTCCTGAAGCAATGTCTCTATATCAGGCCTATTGTTCGGAATTTCTTGTTTACAGCTTATACTAATCCTCCCCATCGCGCTCACCTATCGTTTATCGAACTCTTCGCGGAAATAGTTATATTCGTCGACGAATCCACAATGTTCTCCACTTTCAGCTGTAATTCTCATTGAGCTTGTTAGCATGAGCTTTCCAGAGAGTATCTGAAGAATAATGACTCCAAAGACAAAAATGTCTGCTTTCTCGGTGAATTTTCTGGTTGTGACGTAGTCCGGAGCTAAATATCCCATGGTTGCACTTGTTTTGAGTGCAATAATAATGTTGTAGAAAAGAAAAATTAGTAATTTGTTCGTACCATTTAGTTTCAGTACACTTTTTTTTAATACAATCTAATATAATATTTTAAGGTTTCTTCTAAGTGAAACTTTGAGAGGTTGCCACGTATCACTTTTGATGCTCACAAATTTTCATTTTAGTACCTTATTTACTTAATTTGACATTTGTCCTTCTAGATTTTAGAATTTTTGCATTGATTCTTTAGAATAAAAATGTGATATCAATATACTAACTTAAAATAAACATTTAATTAACATCAAATTGATAATTGTATTTAAAAATTAATTAAAAATATGTAAAAATATATTCTAATAGATAATTGTATTTTTTCAATATCTCTCTTCAATGAGAACTTCCGTAAAACTATCATATTTTAAAAATATATAATTTTAAAAAAAAATTTGTTCTTTTGTTTTTTTTTGTGATCAAGTATATTAAGAGTATATCATATATTAAAATTAAATTATTCTATAATAAAATAATTAAAAAAGTATATAAGATATTTCGATTTTTTTTGTATTGGTGACATCCTATAATATCATTATATAATTTTCTATCATGTTTGGTATATCAATATTTTGAAAACACGAGAAAATTTTATATACGTTAAAATAATTTACATAAAATAGTTTGAAATTATTTTTTACCTTTGAATCTCAAATTTCTCTTTATGGGGAAATTGCAAAAATACCGCCTTTTATGTGCATATTTACAAAAATGTCATTTAGGGGTGTTCATTTTGCAAAAATGCCACTAAAAAATTCTAAACACTAAAAAATATTTTGACCCCTAAACCCCCCTAAACCCTCATAATTAAACCC